TGCTTCGTTTATTTGCCAGTAATGAGTGCGCAAAACTGGAACATTGCTTCCTTTAATAATAATAATACATGCAATACTCGTTACATACAAATTAATTGTCCATTTTATTATATATCCCAGATTCAAAGGGCCTTCCTAGTGTTCACGACCTAACAGTAAGGTTATGTACGTAAATTTAAAGAGAAGAAACTATACGTCTCATTAACTTGAATCTTTCAAAAAACGTTTAACTATATCATAAGACTATTCAGTCTTTTTTTCAGGCAAAAATATTGAATTGTTCCAATGTCATACGGAATTTTCTGGAGTCACTAAACAAAAACTCTCCTAGTGTTCACGACCAAAAAGTAAGGCGATTTAAGTAATTTAAAAGAAAAGAAAGTATAAGTCTCATTAATTTGAAACATTCAGAATACATTTACGCGGAAAATCGTGTCGAGTTGCCGGTTTGTCAGGGCAAAAAATTCCTCGAGTGCAAAGGGCTAATATGTACTTCTATGTAAGGATACATGAAATATTAAAACATTAGTTTTAAACGTTAATTTGTACATGCAATTGTTTTAAGTTTGCTAGATGAAATTCACCAAGTACTCAGAAAATTGTTTCGAGTTGCTGGTTCGTCCGTGCGAAAAAAGACTCGAGTGCAAGGGCTAATATGTATTCCTATGGAAGGATACATGAAATATTAAAATATAATAGTTTTAAACGTTAATTTGTACGTGAAATCATTTTAATTTAGTTGGATGAAATTCACCAAGTGTGCGGAAAATCGTCTCGAGTTGCTGGGTCGTCCGGGCGAACAATTCCTCGAGTGCAAAGGACTAATATGTACTTCTATGGAATGATACGTGAAATATAATAATTTAAAACGTTAATTTGTACGTGAAATCATTTTAATGTAGCTGGATGAAATTCACCAAGTACTCGGAAAATCGTCTCGAGTTGCTGGGTCGTCCGGGCGAAAAAAGGCTCGAGTGCAAAGGGCTAATATGAATTTTTACGCAGCAACGTATATTTATTCGCATAAATATGTAAATTTACTAGGTAACCTGTAGATCTAGGTACATGGTAAAGGTCTTACACGCCACGAGAAAAATTACAACGTAATGTTACATTTAATTCAAGTAAAAATGCAGCAATGCAGTAAATCTACAATGTCACAGGCATTTATACATTTGTCCATTTTACGTTTTTTTATGTAAAACTTCAAATATATAAGGTGTAAAAATGTATGTAAATTTCCATCGATATTTTTCAGTGTTGGAAGTCTCTTCATGCGTACATGTACAAACAATGGCGCGTTCGTAAATCAGGCAAACTTGGGGAAGACATTCAGAATTGTCATGGTACATAAATTTTCGCAGCAGGTGCAAAATGGCCGCCCAAGATGCGAGGTTCTCGTAGTTAATAATGTAAACTTTTGGAAAAAGCCTTCAGACCCCGCACTTTCTTCCCATAATAAATATCCGGAAAGAAGGAAGAATAAAGACGCGTCATGAACTTGTTCCCAAATTATCAATCTTCTTCCCTCACCGTGAAAGAAAAATGTATTTACCCGCTTACAAGAAAATGGAAAGGAATATGTATTTGAAAATAGAAAAATGACGCGTTTAAAGTACAGGTATATAAATATCATTGTGAGTCGTAAATATCATAGTGATCATCGTATCATAAATATCATAGTGATATTGAAAAGTTGTTGACCCTCTTTAATAGCATTTTTCAATATAGATTTTCTATAGATCTTATTTCGTAGGTGGTAATTAAATGATACGAAAAAAAAAATTCGATTAGGACGAAGTATACAAAAAGTACTTCAATATAGATTTTCTATCGACCTTATTTCGTAGGTTGTAATTAAATGATATTAAAACAAAATATATACGACAAGGACGAAGTATACAAAAAGCACTTTAATATAGATTTTCTATCGACTTTATTTTATAGGTTGTAATTAAATGATACAAAAAAAAAAATATTCAATAAGGATGAAGTATACGAAAAGTACTTCAATATAGATTTTCTATCGACCTTATTTCGTACGTTGTAATTAAATAATAAAAAAAAATATTCAATAAGGATGAAGTACACGAAAAATACTTCAATATAGATTTTCTATCGACTTTATTTTGTAGGTTGAAATTAAATAATATAAAAAAAAATATTCGACAAGGACGATGTATATAAAAAGCACTTCAATACACATTTTCTATCGACCTTATTTCGTAGGTTGTAATTAAATGATGCGAAAACAAAATATATTCGACAAGGACGAAATGTACAAAAAGCATTTCATAGCTTCGCCGGAGTTTTGATTTCTCTCGATTTTGACGTTAACACCGATATAGAATGTAATTAGGACGAAGCCTAGAATGGCTTTGAGTGGAAGATTTTTTTTCTCTTTGATCTCCAATTGGACCAATCCATTCTTCCTCCATTCCCTCCATTCTTGTCGACTTTGCTTCTCATCTGACCTGTTCTATGACGACTCGATCTTCGCCGAAAGGAATTTCAATTTTATAAATCCTTACACCGGAAAGAATGGGTCATTTTCAAGTGGTCCTTTGAAGGTGCTACCAAATTTATTCATCCAGTAAACTACTACGAAAGTAAAATGAAGCGTTGAATAAAGTTCACACGAAAGTTTTAACATTTGTACTTTCTTTGAAAAAGAAAGATTGAAAAACCTTTGAACTATTCAAATTCAGCATCGAAGAGATGTAGGACAGATTTCGTTAACCTGATTCAAAAATGTGACTTTTTTTTTATGGCATTCGATCATCGATTTTTGTATATCCACTGAGAACAAAAATTAATTGGACGAAAAAAAGGATTTCTTAGTATAGCACCAGAGAAATATCTTGTAAATTCAAAGAATAATTATTCGACTTAAATGAACAAAAATGAATTGTAATTCCCAAGACATATTGCATCCCGTTTATTTGAGTTTGAGTCAACTAATCAGTCTTTGAATTAACTAAATATTTCTTTCATACTATTAAAACAAGTATTACTATTCAATGAAATATTTCCCTGGTTTAATGCAATGTTTTTTCTCAGTACAGGACCAATTTTTCTACCTAAAACTGTTATTACTGGAATCGCAACTCAGTGTTTTACGACAGAAATGAAATTCCGATATCATATACATCAGATTGGTTTAGATGGTGTTCAATTGGTCGTTCAAATGTGTAATTAGTATTTATTCAATCAGCTAACTTATCCGGAAGGAAAATAAAGCACAAAAAGTTTACTCGATAATTTTTATCTTTGAACTTTCTTTGAAAAAAGAAAGGTTGAAGAACACTTGGACTGTTCACTGTTCAATTTTGACGAGATGTGAGAAGAGAGTTTGTTCAAATTTTTCTAAGTTTTACGTGATTGGTTCGTTGGCGGAGATGCCCAAAAATGTCGCCTCCCATGACTTCGGCAGCGACGGTAGCAAAAGGGTAAACAGGTCGAGTACAGTCTGACCATGCCTTTGTAAGATCACGTACCGTCCGAGGGTATTTTTTATGATCTTGTTTACCCAAACCCTTCGCGAAAGTTCGGTTCCTTCGCACAAAGGCAAACAACATTTGGCGGCCAAATGCACACCGTGAGAAAGCGGAGAAAGTCAAAATTCCCAAGATGGTACGAGGTCTCGTGAAGTTATAACTATGTACTCTAATTAGGGTAAGTCCGGGATATATGGACCACCGGTATAGACGGAGTAGTCGAATATTTGGCTGGGGCGTCACAGCAGCGCTGCAGTCGTTGTCTGAAGTTGTTCTTCTTGAGTAGACGGAACCACGCTTAGTTTTGCTCGTGAGTTTCATGCGTATTTTAGAAGAAAACTTTGTTTATTTCTTTTGGTGAGTTGAAAAATATTTTATACTGGATTTATTTGATATGTGGTTAAGTTAGTTTAAATGATTTAGACGTAAGATCAATCCTATAACTCAAGTGTATACTTGAGTACAATCTTTACCTAAAATGGCATGCCGGTAGCGTTGTTTGTCTGGACGGGAAACTGGTCCATCTATCCCCGACAATTGGGATAGATGGACTACTTGAAAAAACCTGGGATAGGCGGACCATATCTCCTATTAGGGCTTTACTTTCTATATAAATGGATATATGGATGAATGGATGGATGGATGTGCATATAAATCAGACTACCTATATTTTCTAAGTATATTCACTATCAAATTTACTTATCCTTTTTCAAATAGTTTATAACTCTATACTAATCACTTTTCAAGCAGTTTATAACTTTATACTTTGAAATAAACAATGTTTATACCTTTGATAACATGTATTTCTTGTGTTACACCCTGATTTAGTAACGTATACCAGAGGTCCATCAATCCCTAGGAGGTGGTCCATCTAACGCGAGTACCCCCGGGATAGATGGACTGCCGAGTAAAAAAAAAGAAAAAATCATAACTTCAAGGGTGATTAGTGTAACAGCTGGGGAAGTGCTTACAATTGTTCAAGGTCATATATACATATTATAAAAAAATATACCAAATCCTAGACATTGCGAAGTTTCAGTAAAAAATGACTTTAAAAAAACATGGTCCATCTATCCCGGACTTACCCTACTACAAGCATTTTTCTTACGGACGTAACAGGAGTGAAAATTCAGCTCGCCAGAAAAGCATCTTACTTATGCCCTGCTCATCTATAAAACAATATCCTGCTCGCTTCGCAGCCCCTGGCGAAACAATATCCTGCGTTGCTCGTCAAAGATCCTCTCAATCGCCGCAGCGAACAATAATGTCGGGAGCAAAGTAATATCCGAGGGACATTTATTCCCTGGAGACTTAAGTCTCACCGGAGAGCAGACATGAGAGATATCCTTAAGCTTTCCTTCGACAGCTTTCCTCCTAAGCTCCGCTCTAAGGACGCCTCGAGGATCTCGCTACGAGGGGAGCTCTCGACCGGTGTACAAGGACACACCATAAGAAGAAATTCGATGGCTTCTTGTCGACAATGGCCTTTTTTTATACTTCCAGGCTCATAACAGACTGGTCGCCGACCTGGACGACAATAGGATGGAAGTCGTCGAGACGCAAAGCTTCGCCACCGAGGTGACTTCGGCCCTGGAGAAGCTCAAAGGAAAAGATGTCAGGATCATCCTTGGCAACTTCGACGAAATGTGGGCGCGCAGAATCTTTTGCGAGGCCCACAAGTAAGAACGAATACTCTTCTCTGCTTTGTTGATAATTAGTACATTCAACGTCACGACGGTAATAGGTAACGGACATGCGATAAATATTTTTCAGGACGTATAACGCGCAATTACTTGGATTTGCACGAGTGTTAGTTTTTATTGGTATTAAGATGATGTGAAAAGTGCTGAGAAATTTAATCGACGTCGATATATTATAATTCATACCCTTTTTGGTGGTAACGGAATGTTGAATACTCAAGTCGTAACATAAGCTGGCGCGTCACGTTACTCACATTTATATTTATATTAAAGTCTTTTACAGTCTAGGTTGAGAATTATACGAACTGAAGCGTTCCATATGTCATTTTGATAAAGTAATGATGAAGAGATCGACGTAAAACCGTCGAAATCCCGGGAATTCAATATTCTAACGACTGTCTAGGACCAACGTCGCCATCTGTGACGTTTAGCTGCAACTAAATTTTTTGCTCTAAAACCACGCGTTAGCCCCGAGACAAGAATTCTCTTGCAATCGTTGGTGAAAGTATTTTCCATATTTTCCCATCTGTCTCTGTAATATTTCATTTCTATGGGATTCTAAATTGTTCGAGCTAGGTCCTGAAACTCGTGATTTTCAACTGTAAGCCTCCAAAGAGCGTAAAACATTGAAAATGACCAAAAGCAGACAACCTAAGTGCAGATGTGAATACGATGTTAGTGCGTATAACAATTATCACGCCTGGGCCCATCTTAAGATCGTATGAAAAACGCTGAGAAATTTAATCGAGGTCAATAAATTATAATTCATCAATACCCTTCTTGGTGGTAACGTCATTTTGAATACTCAAGTCGTAACATAAGCTGGCGCGTCACGTCACCGACATTTATATTTATATTAGTCTTTTACAGTCTACGTTGAGAATTATACGAACTGAAGCGTTCCATATGTCATTTTGATAAAATAATGATGAAGAGATCGACGTAAAACCGTCGAAATCCCGGGAATTCAATATTCTAACGACTGTCTAGGACTAACGTCGCCATCTGTGATGTTTAGCTGCAACTAAATTTCTTGCTCTAAAACCGCGCGTTAGCCCCGAGACAAGCATTCTCTTGCAATCGTTGGTGAAAGTATTTTCCATATTTTCCCATCTGACTCTGTAGTATTCCATTTCTACGGTATTCTAAATTGTCCGAGCTAGGTCTTGAAACTCTTCATTTTCGATTCTAAGCCTCCAAGAAGGATAAAACATCGAAAACGTGCACAGGACACGCCATGTTGGTTCTAGTCCATGATAAGTAAATAAATTTTGTATGAAAATTGAAATTTCATGATTTTTAGAACTTTCATTATACCTTCCATAATTATATTTTAAACCTTGAATCGAGTCAGTAGACGCAATTTGAAGAAAAGTTTCATATGCGAGCTTTTTGACGCCACTTTCGCGTCGCCTTAAATAGTTTTAAAAATGTCGCGCAAACTCCGCGTTTGGAAATTAATCGCTCTGATTTATCCTTTTTCTTTGAGTTTTGAGGGCATGTACTAATCGGTGATTCATGTGCACATGTTCGCCAAGTTTGGCAGGAAGTACCATACGAGCTTTTCGACGTAACTTTCGCATCGCCTTAAATAATTTTCAAAAATGTCGCGCAAACTCCCCGTTTAAAATTTAATCGCTCTGATTTATCCTTTTTCTTTGAGTTTTGAGGGCATGTACTAATCGGTGATTCGTGTGCACACATTCGGCATGTTTGGCGGGAAGTACCATACGAACATTTTGACGCTACTTTCGCATCACCTTAAATAATTTTCAAAAATGTCGCGCAAACTCCGCGTTTGACAATGGCCGTTCTGATGTACCCTTTTTCTTTGAACTTTTGAGGGCATGTACTAATCGGTGATTCGTTTGCCCAGGTTCGGCATGTTTGGCAGGAAGTACCAATGGGTGATCATGGGCACTTATGCAGAAGAATGGTGGCTTCGGCCAGGAGGAGGCTGCGCACCCTCGGAGCTTTCGGAAGCTCTGCACGGCGCCATCTTGACCGACCTACTTCCGCTTTCCACCGAGCAGCAAATCACGGTTTCCGGAATCGTGAGTTGAAAGTCTTATTCCCGCTGAATGTACACCTCGGGTTCGGCTGATTGCAGAATGATATGCGTAAGACATTCCTTCGGGTATCTTCCTGCGAGATTTCCTGGGCGGCGACTTCGCATTTCAGCCGCCTTCATCTTTATGACGTTTTTCCCGTCGACATTCATTCGGAGATATTGAAACGAGAGGTTCTACTCGAATGTCTTAAGGAGAAATTGATTGCCTAATTTTTATGGTGGTTTCCTTAGGGTACGGTACCACTCATGTATCCTGGGACACTTTATGAAATTCTTAAATTCCAATTCTCAAATGAATCAGGGGAAAAACATTGTCGTGGTAAACGTGAAGGCTGAAGGGGCCAACTAATTAACCGTTTGAGTCCTGGGCGGCGACTTCGCATTTCAGCCGCCTTCATCTTTATGACGTTTTTCCCGTCGACATTCATTCGGAGATATTGAAACGAGAGGTTCTACTCGAATGTCTTAAGGAAAAATTGATTGCCTAATTTGTACGCTGGTTTTCTTAGGGTACGGTACCACCCCTGTATCCTGGGACACTATGAAATTCTTAAATTCCAACTCTCAAATGAATCAGGGGAAAAACTGATTGTCGTGGTAAACGTGAAGGCTGAAGAGGCCAACTAATTAACCGTTTGAGTCCTGGGCGGCGACTTCGCATTTCAGCCGCCTTCATTTTTATGACGTTTTTCCCGTCGACATTCATTCGGAGATATTGAAACGAGTGGTTCTACTCGAATGTCTTAAGGAAAAATGGATTTCCTAATTTGTATGGTGATTTCCTTAGGGTACGGTACCACCCATGTATCCTGGGACACTTTATGAAATTCTTAAATTCCAACTCTCAAATGAATCAGGGGAAAACTGATTGTCGTGGTAAACGTGAAGACTGAGGGAGCTAATTAATTAACCGTTTGAGTCCTGGCCGGCAACTTCGCATTTCAGCCGCCTTCATCTTTATGACGTTTTTCCCGTCGACATTCATTCTCGAAAAAATTGAAACGAGAGGTTCTACTTGAATTTGTTAAAGAAAAATTTGTTTCCTAATTTTTATGCTGGTTTCCTTAGGGTACGGTACCACCCATGTATCCTGGGACACTTTATGAAATTCTTAAATTCCAATTCTCAAATGAATCAGAGGAAAAACTGATTGTCGTTGTGAACGTGAAGGCTGAGGGAGCTAATTAATTAATGCAATAGTGTTGATGCAAGTCGCACGTAACGATGGGGTACAGTGCTGTTGGCCTAGGTTATCCTAAGGAGCACCGATTCCTGATCCCTGTTTGCTTTTTGCGCGCAAGGATCCTATTGTTTGTTTGGATGACTGAGGTGGTCGCGGTCCTTCAGATTTTCGTTTTTACTCCTCAAAGTCTGATTTCGTTCTGATGAGAAAGTTAAGCTGCTTGCTTAAGGTGAAGTGAAACACCCTTCAAGTCAGTCGATTCGAATACAACACTTTTTTCTAAGGGCATTAGACCAAACTGTCCAAAACTTTGACACATCATCATCTATCACATGATCATCTAAGAATTGTCCTGACACATTCAAAATTTGGATTTTTTTTTAAATCGTTTAATTCAGTCCAGACCAGAACCAAAATGACGTCGAGCTTTCATATTTCGATCAATATACAATTATCGAAGGCTCTGATATGAGAATCGAAAGGGTCAGGACAATTTTACGACAATTTAGAACACTCTGGTAATCGATAAACTCGCATTTGAACGGGGTAAAAGCAAAAAAAGTGTTGTATGCGCTTCTATGCTAAAACGATGGGAATACGAGGTCTCGGAGTGAAAATTTAATTGACCTGGAAATCAGAGATGGCGCAGGGAGTCCCTCCGCAGTCAATTAGGGCCCCAGAAAGCATGAATCCTGAGGACTTCTGGAGTTTTACTTCGATTTCTTTATAATTATTATACGAAAACGACAGGTGGAGTATGCCATTTGGTACAACACCCAATAAAATTCGGCACAGCTGTCGATATAAAAACGAACGTCTGCAACGTAGGCATTTAGAAAAATCTTCTTTATCGACGTCGATCAAGTTCCTCGACGTGTTTCACATCACCATAACCACTTGCGCTGGAAAGACGTGCCACATACGTCGAGAATTTGTGAATCTGTGATTTAGCTGCCAGCGCAAGTGGTTAACAGACATCCAAGACCCGAGATTGATGCTTTATCGTCTCTCACGTTTGAAATTGTATTATCCAGAATATTGGCTGAAAAAGTTCTTAACAGACTCTCGTACTCGACCATCTGACATATCGCAGCCGCGCAAACCGCGCTTCTTCGCGTACGTCGATATCAATTAAAACTTGGAACATCGCGTTAAAACTTGGTGAAATATCACATTAAAAGTTTAGATTACCACGTGAAACGCCGTCAAGACCGCTCGGAAGGAAACCTTCCTCCCCAAAGGTGAATATCGAAATATAGCGAGAAGTCGGAGAGACGTTGGGGTAGGTCGACACCAGAGCAAACGCAATTGGCTCGACACGTGACCGACTTTACCATTCCATTAAGGTGAAGTGAAACATCCTTCAAATCAGTCGATTCGAATACAACACTTTTTTTTAAGGGTATTAGACCAAACTGTCCGAAACTTTGACACGTCACTCCTGATCGTCTAAGAATTGTCCTGACACATTCAAAATTTCGATTATATTCGACATCGAGTCGTCGACTTGAATTGACAATATTCGAGTAACACAAGTCAATGATGTAGTCGATTCGTTAAATCACCAACTCGAGTTGTTTTACTCGCAAACTCGTCATTGACTCGACTCATCGTAGCGATGCTATTCGGCATCGAGTTGTTGACTCGAGTTGGCAATATTCGAGTAACACAAGTCAATGATGTAATCGATCCGTTAAATCACTTCAACTCGAGTTGTTTTACTCGCAAACTCGTTATTGACTCGACTCATCGCATCGAATCTATTCGACGTCGAGCCGTCGATTCGAATTGACAGTCATCGAGTAACACAAGTCAATGATGTACTCGATTCGTTAAATCATTTCAACTCGAGTTGTTTTACTCGCAAACTCGTCATTGACTCGGATCATCGCATCGAATCGTCGATTCGACTTGACAATTTCGAGTAACTCGAGTTAATGAAATACTCGATTCGTTAAATCACTTCAACTCGAGTCGTCGCTAATCGAGTTGTTTTACTCGCAAATTGCAATTGACTCGACTCATCGCCTCGAATGTATTCGACATCGAGTCGTCGACTCGAATTGAAAATCATCGAGTAATATTTGTCAATGATGTACTCGATTCGTTAAATCATTTCAACTCGAGTTGTTTTACTCGCAAACTCGTCATCGACTCGGATCATCGTATCGAATCGTCGATTTGACTTGACAATTTCGAGTAACACGAGTCACTGATGTACTCGATTCTTCAAATCACTTCAACTCGAGTCGTCGCTAATCGAGTTGTTTTACTCGCAAATTGCAATTGACTCGACTCATCGCATCGAATTTATTGCCAACTCGAGTCGTTGACTCGAGTTGGCAATATTCGAGTAACACAAGTCAATGATGTACTCGATTCGTTAAATCACTTCAACTCGAGTCGTCGCTAATCGAGTTGTTTTACTCGCAAACTCGCCATTGACTCGACTCATCGCATCAAATCTACTCGGCATCGAGTCGTTAACTCGAGTTGGCATTATTCGAGTAATACAAGTCACTGATGTACTCGATTCGTTAAATCACTTCAACTCGAGTCGTCGCTAATCGAGTTGTTTTACTCGCAAATTGCAATTGACTCGACTCATCGCCTCGAATGTATTCGACATCGAGTCGTCGACTCGAATTGAAAATCATCGAGTAATATTTGTCAATGATGTACTCGATTCGTTAAATCATTTCAACTCGAGTTGTTTTACTCGCAAACTCGTCATTGACTCGACTCATCGCATCTAATCTTTTCGGCATCGAGTCGTTGACTCGAGTTGGCAATATTCCAGTAACACAAGTCAATGATGTACTCGATTCGTTAATTCACTTCAACTCGAGTCGTCGCTAATCGAATTATTTTACTCGCAAATCACCATTGACTCGACTCATCGCTTCGGCTGTACGCGGCACCGAGTTATCGACTCGAATGCAAACTCGAGTTGGCAATGCTTTCGTCCTCGAGTAACTCGAGTTGGTAAAGTATTCGACTCATCACATCACTAAAATTGACTCCACGATTCTGTCAATTTTTCGGAATTTTCACTTCGTGCTTTCTTTAACGTCAATTCCCCCTCTCGCCCCCAGTTATTACAGCAGCGCGGAAAATTTTAAAGTAACATGAGTGGTGGAATAAACGTTTTACACCGGAAATTTCGGCTTAAAAGGCTGAAAAATGTCAGCTCCGCGTAAAACGCGCCGGGAATACGTGCGACTTGAACGTGTAATAATCGTGTTATTCCGTACCGTAAGCGGATAATAAACGTCAACTGAAAATTAAAAAATGGTTTATAGGTCGTACGTCAGGCCGACATTTTCCTCATTTTTCGACGTAATTCTGTTACCAGCTAGGGGAATTTTCATTTTAAAAGTTAGGGGAGTGGAAGGGGTATGCTTGCAGCCCCGGTCATAATTTCTGGAATTCGGGGAATTTATTTAAAAATCTTCTCCTCGTATTTTTGTAATTTACGAGGATGGCGCATATTTTCAACGAGACGGTTCTGAAATTTGGTAAAATTTCAAGATTTCAGTATTTAGGTAAATTCATGTAGTGCAAACTATCATGGTTAACTCAACGTAATTGTTTGAAACTTTAAACCATAAATATCCAGATAAAGAAAACCATTTGCTAAGAATAATTATTTTACAAACACATCACCCTGCAGAAATATTCGACGTACACAAAAAGATAATTGAAAGCTCCAAATAACACGAATATTTTATTAATTTTCAATAAATTAACTCCATGAATAACATTCCGTACAATAGAATTAGTTTCATCCCTAATCAAAATCCTAAATTATAAAATTGAGAAACCACCCCCGAAACTGAACAAAGTTTCGGACAGTTTGGTCTAATACCCTTAAAAAAAAGTGTTACATTCGAATCGACTGATTTGAAGGATGATTCACCTTAAGGTGAAGTGAAACACGTCGAGGAACTTGATCGACGTCGATAAAGAAGATTTTTCTAAATGCCTACGTTGCCAACGTTCGTTTTTATGTCGACAGCTGTTTCGAATTATATTGGCTATTGTACCCAATGGCATACGCCAGCTGTTGTTTTCGTATAATAAATATCAAGAAATCGAAATAAAACTCTAGAAATTCTCTGGATACATGCTTTCTGGGCACCTAATTGACTGCAGAGGGACCCCCTGCGCCATCTGTGATTTCCAGGTCAATTAAATTTTCACTCCGAGACGTCGTATTGCCATCGTTTTAGGCTAGAAGCGCATACAACACTTTTTTTGCCTTTATCCCGTTCAAATGCGAGTTTATCGATTACCAGAGTGTTCTAAATTGTCGTAAAATTGTCCTGACCCTTTCGATTCTCATATCAGAGCCTTCGATAATTGTATATTGATCGAAATATGAGAGCTCGACGCCATTTTGGTTCTGGTCTGGGCTAAGTTAAAAAATTTGTTCCAAAAATCCAAATTTTGAATGTGTCAGGACAATTCTTAGATGATCAGGAATGATGTGTCAAAGTTTCGGACAGTTTGGTCTAATACCCTTAAAAAAAAGTGTTGTATTCGAATCGACTGATTTGAAGGATGTTTGACTTCACCTTAAACCCCGCGAGCCGAAAATTGGCCCCGTAATTTCGGTCCTCGTTTCCCGTGGGAGGAAATAAACCGGCGGTGGCAACGGACACTTGAAAAAGTTAAATCGAGTCACACTCGACTCCGGCCATTCGTCGGGATTCTCCTCCACTCGTGAAAAATCTCGTTTCCGGGCTCGCAACTCGGGCTCGACGGTGGCGCAAACTTATCCTCGAAGAGGAGCTCCCATGGTAGAGCATTCTTCCGACTTTAACCGTGATAAAGTGAAGGGAACTGTTTCCTCCCTGGGCCCTGAACACCATCGGTCGTTCTTATACCGAGATACCTGTTTCCGGAAAAAATCCCCCGAGATATGACAACGGGGGGGAATTTATTTTTGCACGAACGAGAAGCGACATAGGGCAACTTTTGTTTCCCCCGACCAATCGAAGGAAATGGCAGGGGCTATTCACTTAGAAATCGATAAAAATTATTTCATTTCTTAGCACATTCGCAACCGCTGACGTGAATTCACGTCTTTTCAAGTTCTATTCCTGGTTGCCGCTGACGTGGATTCACGTCATTTTAAATTCTATTCCTGGTTACCGCTGACGTGAATTCACGTCATTTTCAAGTTCTATTCCTGGTTGCCGCTGACGTGGATTCACGTCATTTTGAATTCTATTCCTGGTTGCCGCTGACGTAAATCACGTCCATTACGATACACAAGTCTACGCGTAACCAGTTTCAAAATTTCATTATTTTCGCCGGTACTCAGTATTTGAAATGGGCAAAATTTGCCGATCGCGAATGTGTTAAGATACATAAATAAAATTATAATTTTCATCGTTGTATACAGAATCTTAAATTAAAAAGTCAAGTTTATAAATGAATGGCTTTTTAAATAAGATGCACTGTATCCATATTAAACGCACCACCCACGAATAATAAGTTGAAAAATAAAGTTCCAAAAACGCCATATATAAATTTTAGAAAAACTTCCTTCTCTCCTTCAAAGCAAAAGTTACGTATGCCGAGCACATTTCTCTCTCGTTACATAGAATTTAATTAAAGTGAATTTCTGTTAAAATTCCTTGTACTACATTCTTGCCATATTGTAGGTTTTCAGACATTTAACATTTAAAACTCAAACAATTCTAGAAAGGTTCCGCGGTCGAGACTCTTTTATCAAAAATTGTCGTAACACAACACATTCGCAACCGTTGACGTGAATTCACGTAATTTTAAATTCTATTCCTGGTTACCGCTGACGTGAATTCACGTCATTTTAAATTCTATTCCTGATTGCCGCTGACGTGAATCACGTCCATAACGATACACGATACAAATTTGCGGCAACCAGTTTCAGAATTTCATTATTTTCGCCGGTACTCAGTATTTGAAACGGAAAAATTCGCCGGTCGCGAATGTGTTAATTTCATTGAAGAGCATTTAATTTAATGATTACCGATTTTTATTTGAAAATCATAATCAATAATGTTGCTTTTACCTGGTACTTATCGTTAATGATCGATAAAGCTAATTAAACAATCATAAATAAATCACCAAAAAGTCGCGAATGGAAGAGCAATAGAAAAAAATAAAATCTGAACAATATTAAAACTTATCTATAGGTGAAGAATACAATAATCACGACGTGACGTTAGGTAAACGAGTAAAACATTTGACAATTTAAATATGACATGCAGGGTAATACGCTCTAAACACGCGTGATTGCCAATGATTTCCTGTGATTTCCTCTGGTTTCTAAAATTCTTTTTCCGATGTACTGTTTGTATGAAAACGATATCCCACGGATTTCACATGATTTCCAATGATTTCGATCGTTGTTACCTGGTCCAAACGATTTTAAAACGTGTTACATTCTTCAAATAAGGCTCTTAATGATTTCCAGCTGACGTTCATGCGATTTCCGGCATTAAAATGCGGGATTTCCTGAGTAAATACCCCCTCGGGCAAATCGCATTTGCGCCTCCCCCGTTGGAATCGAGATTTTCTGCTCTTCTCGATTAATTAAATATTTCAAAATTTCTCCCCCGAGAGACTAACTCATATCGAAATGCGATGCTATGTATCGGGAATGTTCTGTCCGGCTAGTTTGTCGGGCAGTTGTATGAATCCCGATTGTTATTTGCAAGTAGATTTGCAACTTCTAATTCGTACAACTGCTCACGTGAAGAAGGAATGTACCCGAATGATGTGAGACTTGTCGCGTCTGCAATGGTCCACATTTAAGGGGTAAAACAACCCCCCAAAGTTTGGCGAAAATTAATATAAAAATCGAATTTTCGCCAAACTTTGGGGGGTTGTTTTACCCCTTAAATGTGGACCACTGCAGATAAAAAGAACACGTGTCTCTTAGGTTTTGGTGTTCTTCAACATATATAAAAAACAATAAGATCGACGGCGGACAGTCGGGAATGTTTCCTTCTAAGTTGACATCTTCAAAAATTCTGTTCATACAATGTTTTAGAATTATTTTTTGTTCCGTACCTGCAGCTCTAACACTCACGGTGTCCAAGATGACCAATTTAGTAGAGAGGTACGCGATTCTGAGGTTATCCGTATCGGGCGATGATGAATACGAAAATGTAATGCTTCCTCCAGCCTTCCTTCTTGGGCTGTCTTCGTTTTCTTCAAATCCTACAATTCGTTCTATTACCTTGTAATTGTAGAAGATGAAAATTCCTTTAACAAATTTCAGATATTGAGGATCAATAAGGGTCAGAATATTATTGCAGGAGAATGAAAAACAATTTAACTACAACAGGGAAAAATTATAGTTTAGTTCATACCAACCGCGGTTTCGTAGTAATACATTATTATTGTAAATTGCTTCAAACATTACGTACAAAACTAAAACGCTAAATCGTTCCATACATGACGAAGATGCATTAATAATTACTTCTGTTTATATTACGTTGAGACGTTAGCATAAATTTTGTATTTTTCTGTTTGTTGGTCTTTTCTGTTTTGAAATTTGCCGCCAAATTCGCGGGCTATCCTTCTTGCCCTCGCTCGGGATCGGAGGTAGAAAGGGTAGAGAAAATGTACACTAGGGGTAGATGCCCTCGCAAAACGAACAGCGACGTCTGCATCCCTTCCGTTAAAACTAACGCCAAAGTGTACACTTTTCGTAAAAGTGTAAAAAATGTAGGCAAAACGAACAAACCTAAAGTTTCAGACGGTTCGATTCAATACCCTTAAAAAAAGTGTTTCATTCGAGTCGACTGATATGAGGAGGATTTCATATTATCTTAAAATTGTCCAACGTTATTGGAAAATTGCAACGTAATCTTTCTGCGCTTAGTGTCATAATATAATTCAATTCATTGGCAAATTCGCCTTTGTATTTTCCTGTTTGTTGGTCTTTTCTATTTTGAAATTTGCCGCCAAATTCGCGGGCTACCCTTCTTGCCCTCGCTCGGGATCGGGGGTAGAAAGGGTAGAGAAAATGTACACTAGGGGTAGATGCCCTCGCAAAACGAACAGCGACGTCTGCGTCCCTTCCGTCAAAACGAACGCTAAAGTGTACACTTTTCGTAAAAGTGAAGAAAGTGTGGGCAAAACGAACAAACCTATGGACACTTTCCTCTACTACGATTTAAAAATATCTATCGTTGTCGTATTTCCTATTTTACAGACGCCGGACGAGTACCAAGTGGAGTACGACTCGAGGAGAGGTACCGAGTACTCGAGATTCCACGGGTACACCTACGACGGGATCTGGGCCGTGGCTTTGGCAATACAGCACGTTGCTCGTCGGATAAGGCATTATCGGCGAAACCAGACAGTAGCCGATTTCCGGTATAGGGATGCCCTTTGGGAGCGCCTCTTCCTGGAGGCCCTGAAGAACACCAGCTTCGAGGGAGTCACTGTGAGTTCCTATGGAAATTCAATAAAATCGGCTCAATTGGCCATCGCTTTATCTCTGGGTCCTGATTTTACTCGATCAGTCGCATTCCCTGTAGCAACGAATATTGGTAACAGTTTCGGGTGATATTGACCCAATACTATCTATCGGTACGATACTATCCATTACTAGCAGATATTGAGTCAATATAATATTTCGCGTCCTAGTAAATATTAAATGCAATGAAGGTAGAATGTACATGGAATGTCGTTTTTTACTCGATCAGTCGCATTTCCAGCAGCAACGAATATTGGTAACACCTTCGGGTGATATTGACCCAATACTATCTATCGGTACGATACTATCAGTTACTAGCAGATACTGAGTCAATATAATATTTCGCGTCCCAATAAATATTAAATGCAATGTAGGTAGAATGTAGAACGAATGTCATTTTTACTCGATTAGTCGCATTCCCAGTAGCAACGAATATTGGTAACAGCTTCGGATGATATTGACCCAATACTATCTATCGGAAGGATACTATCAATTACCAGCCGATACTGAGTCAATATAATATTTCGCGTCCTAGTAAATATTAAATGCAATGAAGGTAGAATGTACATGGAATGTCGTTTTTTACTCGATCAGTCGCATTCCCAGCAGCAACGAATATTGATAACAGCTTCGGGTGATATTGACCCAATACTATATATCGGTAGGATACTACAAAGTACTAGCTGATACTGAATCTATATAATATTTCGCGTCCTAGTAAATATTAAATGCAATGAAGGTAGAATGTAGATGGAATGTCGTTTTTCACTCGATTAGTAGTCGCAATCCCTGTAGCAACGAATATTGGTAACAGCTTCGGGTGATATTGACCCAATACTATCTATCGGTACGATACTATCAATGACTAGCCGATACTGACAAGAAAGGTATCCCAGGTCGATCTCTCCGATTTCATTTCTTTTATAATATGTTATAGTAGAGTAAAAACTAAGCGACACGTATTTTTTTTTAATCTGCCATTAGACACTTTAAGGGAGTGAAACCACCATCCAAAGTAAGGCATGTCAAGGGGCGATTTGGCAGTTTCACCCACAAGAACATAATATTTTTTAACCAATCCACCTGGAAAAGCTTTCTCATAGCAAGAAATGAAAAATATAATTTTCAATTAAAAAAGAAATTAAGGGGTGAGCTACCCCTAAGTATGATTACGTTTATACAAAAATGGTCAAATTCAAGTCTAAAAATCTGAAAAAAGTATATGTTGTGTATGAACACGAAGGAAATACGTGTCTTTGGATTTTCCCGAAAAAAAGTATTGGCCGGGGCAACTACCCCCGAACGCTTACCCCTTATTTTTTTTTTTACTTGAGAAAATTATATTTTTCATTTCTCGTTATGAGAAGCCTTTTTCATTTGGATTAATTGAAAAATATTATGTTCTTGTGGGTGAAGCTGCCAAATCGCCCCTTGACATGCCTTACGTGGATGGTGGTTTCACCCCCTTAAAGTGTTTAATGGCAGATAAAAAGAAATACGTGTCGCTTAGGTTTTAGTCTATTATAACATATTATAAAAGAAATGAAATCGGTGCGTTCGACGTGGAATACCTTCCTTGTAAGAGCGCTTAAAGGAGCCCGACGTTTGGTCCAATATTGCCTGCACGGTCAGACGAATTTCGCCCATATGTCTAAATGGCTGCATGTTCAAAGTGTTAAATGTCAGATTGTGTTCTTTTTAGAGGTCTTGTAGAACGCAAATCTGAATCTTCAATGAAACAACCGTAAATCCCTTTAAAAAATGCATTAATTTAACTTATCTGATCATTATTCCATTTTCTGAAACATGGATTAGATTAGCCTTAGATTTTATTTCAGGTTTGAGAGTGAGAAGAGCTCTACATTTTATTAAATACACATTTTATGTTCCTTTACGTATAGAATCAATGTCTCTTCGCTTCTATTAAAAATAATGTTTTAGGGCTAAGGACATCTATTTAAGTGAAAGAAATTATTTTCGCCACTGAGGGAAGAACAAATGAAACCGATAAAACAGGATAATCATTAGTTGGTAATTTGTTCACGCCATTTTCTTGCGAGCCGTCTTTGCGATTAATTGGTTTTCCTAACTCGGTTATGAATTGAAATTGGCTCAGACGATCTCCAATCAAGTTTGATTTGACTGGACCCTAGTAGCACAAAATATTTGTCCTATATTTTCTATATATTTAACGAATATCGTAAATTTTGTAAATATTTAGCAGACATTTTAAATATTTGCGAAACGTTTACTTCAGAATATTATCCCTGTAATATTTATATAATATTACCTCCATGTGTTTTCATAATATTTTTCTACCAGATATACAAAACATTTCGTTTTATGTTAATACAAGCATTTCTTAATTATTATCTGCCGTATACATTAAAAACGTTTTAAAAATATTTAAAATCAAAATCACACGTTTTGCTCTCATAATGAAAAGCGGAACGAAAATATTAGAAAAATTTCTCGTGTTTTTTGATACCAAATGAAGTGTTCGATAATAGTCGTGAAGTAAAAAATGTATTTTTATTATGTTAATATGTTANAGTTTATAAATTAATTTGGATCAAATTTGTACGAATTTCTAATTCTTGATGTATAAACAAACATGTAGCACCGTTTTTTATTAAAATCGCTTGACTGACATCATTTCATTTATCATAAGATTTGGTTTAATGAACTGAATTTCAGTTCAATTGACCAATGCTGTTTACTTATATCAGTTAAAGTACTTTGGTTAAATCGATTTCTCACATTTATGAAATATTGCGTAAAAAACTACTTTAATATTCAATCTCATCAACTATTTGTACGATGGCACTCCCACGATATATAAATAAACAATCATAAAAGTATCTAAGAGAAATAAACATTTCTAATAGTTTATAAATTATTATAGTGTTAAAGAAATTTGCATGAATTTCTAATTCTTGATGTATAGGCGAACACGCAACACAGTTTTTTTTATTAAAATCGCTTGACTGACATCATTTCGTTTATTTCAAGATTTGGTTTAATGAACTGAATTTCAGTTCAATTGACCAACGCTGTTTACTTATATCAGTTAATGTGCTTTGGTTAAATCGATTTCTCACATTTATGAAATATTGCATACAAAACTACATTAACATTTAATCTCATCAACCATTTGTACAAAGGCACTCTCACGATATCTTAATAAACAATCATAAAAGTATCCAAGGGAAATAGACTTCTAACAGTTTATAAATTAATTTGGATCAAATTCGTCCGAATTTCTAATTCTTGATGTATNATGTTCGCATACGCAATAGACCGCTAATTTAAATATATTCATTATTGAATTATTATCCATTAGGAGTATTCCGATCTTTTATGCACAACTCCAAACACTAAAAGTGATACATAAATCTGAATGAAAATTAAATGATCACTAAAACGTAAATAACTTTATTATTTTGAAAATTGTGCAATTACATTGCTATAGGTTGTCATATCTATCAACAGTTTATTAGGTTTAATTCTTATTCAGCTTCAGCCGTAACTTTATGGATTAACTAAGTGTTCTGTAATCCGAGGAAATAATGATTTACGGGTTTGCTAAATACATTTAATTAAATATGAATTTACCTGGAATTTAATCGGCTCAGAGAGAGGGTACTTCGACCCGTTTAATTCCCGCCGGTTTAACTAAGCTTCACTCCAATTGACTAAATGATTTAATTGTTAATGACACATTGCGGGAATCCAGCGAATCGGTTTAGCAGAATCTCCCCAATTGCGCAACTCTGCTAATCGAAATACGATACTGTCGCACCAATGGAATTAAAGTGGATCAGCAAGCATTTTATTTAAACTAAATGTTATTCGCTCGATACTGCATCTATAAACCTTTGCTTTTCATTTAAGGTGAAGTGAAACACGTCGAGGAACTTGATCAACGTCGATAAAGAAGATTTTTGTAAATGCCTACGTTGTCGACGTTCGTGTTTATATTGACCTCTGTATCGAATCATATTGGGTATTGTACGAAATGGCATACTCCACATACCGTTTTTGTACAGTAATTGTAAAGAAATCGAAGTAAAACTCCAGAAATCCTCCGGATTCATGCTTTCTGGGGCCCTAATTGACTGCAGAGGGACCCCCTGCGCCATCTGTGATTTCCAGGTCAATTAAATTTTCACTCCGAGACCTCGTATTCCCATCGTTTTAGCATAGAAGCGCATAAAACACTTTTTTTTGCCTCGATCTCGTTAAAATGCTAGTTTATCGATTACCAGAGTGTTCTAAATTGTCGTAAAATTGTCCTGACCCTTCGTTTCTCATATCAGAGCCTTCGATGCTTGTATATCGATCGATATATGAGAGCTCGACGTCATTTTGCTTCTGGTCTAGGCTAAGTCGAAACATTTTTCTTCGAAAATCCAAATTTTGAAAATGTCAGGAAGAAATGTTAAGGCTTTATACTGTAGCTTTTGCAAACATTTTACGTTATGATGGGCCTTATTACCCCAAGGTTTTACCCCAAGGAATTAAAGTGGATCAGCAGGCATTTCATTTAAACTAAATGTTATTCACTCGATACTGCATCTATAAACCTTTGCTTTTCATTCAAGGTGAAGTGAAACACGTCGAGGAACTTGATAGACGTCGATAAAGAAGATTTTTGTAAATACCTACGTTGCCCACGTTCGTTTTTATATTGACCGCTGCGTCGAACTATATCGGGTATTGTACCAAATGGCATACTCCACCTGTCGTTTTCGTACAATAATTATAAAGAAATCTAAGTAAAACTCCAGAAATCCTCCGGATTCATGCTTTCTGGGGCCCTAATTGACTGCAGAGGGACCCCCTGCGCCATCTATGATTTCCAGGTCAATTAAATTTTCCCTCCGAGACCTCTTATTCCCATCGTTTTAGCATAGAAGCGCATACAACACTTTTTTTGCCTTTATCCCGTTAAAATGCAAGTTTAT